AAAACACTCAATAGAGAGGCTTGAAGCAGGATTGAACTTAATTCTTTCACCAATTGACGCATCGTAGATTTGCAAAAGAATCGATAAGGGTACAATAGTGCTCCAATCACACTTTTGTAATGATTATATTCTCAAAGGGACTGTTGTCATGAAGGTGAAGTTTGTTTGTTTGATCCATTGGAGCAGGACATGGATTGGCATTCAACAAGTTGGTTCTTTTGAGCAGATCTACAGTGTACTTGGCTTGAGGTAATTGAATATCATTGTGCCCCCCTACATGTCTCAAAGCGAAGGAAGCGGGTAACAAATCCAAGATTTTTTTAAGAGCAAACTAAGAACTAAGCTTCATGATGATGTCTTGAACTTGAGATGAATGATTCCCTATAATAAAGATATCGTCAACATATACAAGAACAAAAGGTAAGGCACCCCCATTTCCGTAAGAAAAGAGAGATGTATCAGATGCTGAGTTCTGAAAGCCAAGAGAGAAGATAGAAGTTTGTAATTTGTCAAACTAGGCTTGAGGAGTCTGTTTGAGGCCATAGAGAGCTCTTTTGAGTTTGCACACGGTTGTGGGGTAGCAGATTGATCCATGAAGATTTGTTCATGGATGGTGTCATTAAGAAACGTATTGTTAATGTCTAATTGTTGCACATCCCAGTCATAAGTGACTACAAGAGTGAGAATAAGACATGGGTTTTATAACAAGGCTGAAAGTCTCAAGGAGATCGATCCCAGACTGTTTCTGGAAGCCCTTGGCAACAAGGCGTGCTTTATGCCATTGGATGGAACCATCATAATTGTATTTTAAATGAAAAATCCACTTGCGTCAAATAATATTCATATCAGGACGGTGGGGGACGAGTTCCCAGGTTTATTTTTCTAGAAGAGCATGATACTCTTCATCAATTAAATTGCTTGCTTCCAACTTGGTGATGATAAAGCATCTTGCATAGTTTCAGGAACAGTTGATGTGTAGTGTAGACATTTGAGGTTGGATTTTTTAGGATGGATGACATAAAGGTAAGATCCCAGGTTTGGATCTGGTAATCATGGGATGGACAAGAACAACAGGTGTAAGAGATTGGGTTGCCTGGGTGATGGTGAAGGGATGTTGGAGCTGGATATATTTTGTGATGTGGATGTTGGAGAGTAAACTACAACAGAAAAGAGAGATGAATCAGAAAGAACAAGAGAATAATGAGTTTTACGATGACTGTTGGATTGTGTCTTGATGGAAAAATTCGAAAGTTCCTAGTGAAACGTGTGAATTCTCTTGTAATGGTTAAGAGATAACATGTGACCAGTGGTGATGCTAAATGTGTAAGGAGTTGGAGGGAGAATCAAAATAGTGAAAGGAGGAGTGGAAACTAGAAAGCAAATGGGAAATCAGACTCGGTGAATCTCACACTTTGGGCAACATTAAGTTTACCCCAAGGATGAAGACATTTGTGGCTGTAACTTCCTTTTATGCCGCCCACGACACATATCACTCAATTTATATTTCCAAGGAGTATGTAAACTTGTGGACGCACACAAAGAATAGATATGCGCTTCAATATGGTTAATGGATAACCAAAAACTCGAATTACGTCATGTTGATTATTAAAGTCATTCTATCATAATAACTAAAAGTATGCGTTAATACTGTGTAATTATGATAATTGCAAGTGTAAATGTATTAAGCATTTTTGAAAACTTTAAGAAAGAAAAAAAAAAGGAAGATTTGGTTTCTTTTGATACAAGACTTCAATGCGTGATTCGTGCCCCAAAGTTTTGACAATCTTAAAGGGTCATAGAGGCTTGATAAAGTAATGTTAGACCCATTTCGATGATATAGTAATGTTTTCTTTTGGATTTCCATTTTCTAAAGTGAATTCCTAATGATGTGAGACTTTGATTATACCCTTCCCCAATTGGACTGAAGTGTTTGGATTTTTGTACCAGATTGCTTTTCAACCATTTCCTGGAAATTATAGAAAATCTCTTTGATATTAGATTTAAGTTTCAAAGGGAAGATCCAAGTAAATTAATGAAAACCGCCTTCGGAGAGAATGAGGGAAGCCCCACAAACATCCGAGTGAATTAACTCTTAGAGGTTTGGAAGAAACAGAGGAAGATGACTTTCCAGCATGACATGCATCACAAAACTGTTGAAAGAAACTTTTTCATCACTCAAGATGTGTTTCATTGCATTGGAATTTGTCTCATATGCCACCGGTTAACCTTAGAAACATAAAACAATATATTTCCAACTAAAGACTTAATACAAAAACATGAACAAGTGTTTAAGCTTGAAGCATTGGAAAGAGAGTGTTTCAGCTGAAGTTGATATAGGCCATCACTTGGTACTCCCAAACTAGCTCCCTCTTCGTATGCAAATCCTTCACATTCACAACACAACAATCAAACACAGGGTTGTCTTTGGTTACCTGAGAAATGGATAAAATGTTTTCGATACTGAAAGAATATCTTTTAAAAGAAGAGTTGAATGTGCTGTGCGACGAAGTTGTGCTACAAACTGTATCCTGAATGAGACATGGTAAAAAGTTTCCCATTACCTGTGAGAAGTTTTGAGTTACCTTTGTACTAAACTTTGTGATTGATGTTTGTAGAGTCACTGGTTATGTGGTTTGTAGCACCATTATCCAAGTACCAGGCACCATCGATCTGACTTTTCATGACCTAAAGTAAGAAATACTTGCTGACTATATAGTCTGTTGGCCAGAGGAAGGAAGGTGGTTGAACTGTCGAGTGTTGGAATTGTTCGTATGGCCTTCAAAGGTGACATCAAACCCCATGGTAACATTTAAAGGAAAAATGACCTACAAGACCACATGGTTGACACATTGGAAGATCTCCTCGGCCCCCTCTTCCTGTCCCACGGACACGGCTAGATCCACGACCAAAATGACGTGTTGGAAGCTGATAAAGAACCTCGAAGATGGAGTTTTTGACGGGGTTGAGTGGCAAGTGTTAGAACCAATCCAACCAAGTATAGAATTACACTTCCAAATTATAAAATAAAACAGAAACTAACCAAGAAATTTAGTAAAAATCTAACCTTTACGATGATATTTCTATATGCCAAGATCGAGGGATAGAGGCCTGCCACAGCAGTGTCTTAAGATGAAATTTCGCCCCCAATCGTGCGTTGGTAAACGGACATCGTCTTGAGGATACAACTAACTAACCGGATTGATGCACGTCAATCCGATTCCATTGAATTGATAATACGTTCCATGAAGCAACGATATAGAGAGAAAAATTATTGAGAGCGCGCTCTTTGTGTAAGAGAAATCGTGTATGATTTCTGGGAGATGAACCGCACAGACCTAAAGGAACCGCAAAAATGCAGTTACTGACGGGCCTTGAATCGGGCAAAAACATAACCAGGTCATAAGGGCCCCAAGGCCCATCTTTTGACCATTAATATTGGGTAATGCCACACCAAAACCCAATGTCAATCATTCTTTTGGGCCTCTCTCTAACTTGATAATTCATGTGTGTAAGGCCATATAAACACATGAAAATTTCTCTCTTTTTCCTATGTGGGACAAGTGTCGACTAATATCCAACAGCAAGATGAGCACTTGGATTGGTAATATACATTATTACTTTAATGTAATGTTAATTATTTTATTCATATTTTGAGTTTGTAAATTTATCTTTGTTTTATCCTTGAATGATAAAAACCGTCATTATCATTAAAATGGCTTAGTGTAACGGTTTTGAATGATAAATGTTGTCGTATGTCATGCTATGATAATGGTTCTAAAAAAACAAACATCATTGTATCTCATGTTATGCTAACGGTTTTGAATAATAAATGTCACCGTATGTCATTCTATAGTGACGATTTTGAAACAAACATCATTGTACGTCATGCTAAGGTGATGGTTTTGAAAGATAAATGTCGTTGTATGCCACTGTATGTCATTTTACGGTGACCCATTTGGCCATTTGAAATATAAAAGTGACTGTAAATCATGTTACATTGATGGTTTTTAATAATAAACGTTGTTATATGTCATGTTTAGAGGACAGTTCTGAAAAAATAAATGTCACTATAAGGCTACAGTGACGGTTTTAAATAATAAACGTTAATGTATGTGATCTTACAATGACGATTTTGAAAAATAAAGGTGACTATACATAATGTTATGATGACGGTGTTCAATAATAGACGTCATCGTAGTTAACGATACTGTAACGGTTTTGAAAACTAAACGTTACCGAGTGTCATGCTATGGTGATGGTTTTGAAAAATAAGCATCACCGTATGTAATGTTATGGTAAAGGTTTTAGAAAAAAATTTACATTTTTTACATACTTAAGGTGACGGTTTTTAGCCTATAGTAACGGTTTTCAATGTGATCTCATAACATTTTTTAAACGTAACAAAAAATGTATGAAAAGTGACGGCAGAACAGGTGACAGTTTTATGTCAATATAAACCGTTACCGTATACCTATGGTAACGGTTTTTAACCCTTACTTTTGACCGATTTTGGTAGTTTCAGCTCAAACGGATCTAAATTTGGTAGTACTCAGTTAATCACCAAATTTCAGTCTTTCGTAATTGAAACGAAGATTCGCTCATATACACAAACTCATGAATGTATTTTTACGAATAGGGCATGGTTATTACGTAATTTGCATATTAAGATTACATACATATTTCATGTATCACATATTAAATCAAAATAACGTAAAGTCATTTGATTTTGATATTTTCGAACTCGACTTTAAAAAAAGCTTTTGAAGTCACCACCAAACTTCTCTATTCGATCACGAACCCATATCGGTTTTCGGATTTGATGACCCAACGCACAATTTTCTCTATCTTTCTTCCTTTCTACACTACGTAGGCGCCGGTGATTCGCAGGCAGAGTTTATTATTGACGGTTTTCGGACGGTTATACGATAAAATAAATATATAAAAGTTAGTTAAATATTTGTTTGAATTAAGATAACAAATAATTAGCTTATAATTTAATATTAAAGCAAAAGATAACATTTGTGCTTGATTAAACCGAAGCTGAAAACAGAGCCTCCCAAATCTCAGTGAAAACCTCAAAGATCACCCTATGGTGTTCTTCTGAATTCAACGAAATAAAACATTGCAACAAGTTTTGTAGATCTTCTTCTCCGAAAATCTGTTTCTCCACGATCATTTCGACCATCGATACCCTGAAATCTTCATGTGGATTGCTCGATTTCTTTACCACTGCAAAACTATCTTTCACAAGCTTCCCACTGCTCTCCAATGGCGTGACATTGGTAGTCTCTAGATTCTTGCACCCACAGGCACAGCCGTGGCCACCACTGATTCTCTTTGGTTTCTTCTGGGACTTCCGGTGTGCTCTGTTTCTGAGAAAAGTCCCTGATGACTCAGACGACAGTGAACGGGATGAAAACAGAGTGGTTCCATCATCACTTTCATCTTCTTCATCGCTGCTACGCCAATCGTAGTAGTAATTGTCTGTGAATGATGAGAAATCTTGAATCTTTCTTGGTTTCCTGTAATGGGGTTTCTTTTTTGTAGTTTTTTCCGGTCTCCGGCAGACGGTATTTGCCGGAAATGAGGTGGTTGTGTTGAAGGTTTTTGGCCGGAGAAGATGGGATTTTGGTTCATTTTTTTGGTTATGGATGAATGAGTGAGGTTTTGGGGAGAAGAGATGGATGAGTTGCCGGTGATGGTAATTTTCCGGCGGGAAGAAAAAAGGTTGATCGGATACATCGAAGTTGTCCTTGGAACGGCATGAATGGAACATTTTAGAGACTTTTAGCTTCAACCGATTATCCATTTCGAGAGGGAATCAGATCTTGAAGATGAATGAGACGTCGTCAACTAGAAAATGCTTAAATATAAAGCCCAAAAAAGTACATTTGAATTTTTATTTTATTTACGGTATATTTTATAAAAATGGTTAAAGAGGATGTGTGAGTTTATTTGTTGTATTTGTTATAAATAAATAAATATTATGTATAAAAAACCTTAATAAAAGTGTTATGATGATAATAATGGGTAAATGTGCAAGTTTTTAATGTGAGGATTTTGAAAAGAATAAATACAAAATGAAAGATTTTGATGGTGGAAGACAAAGGTTAATTGTCATCTTTTCCATGTTTTATTCTAGTGGAATTAATATTATATAAATCTTATAATTTTTTATAATATATTTTCAAGATTCAAACATTCAAATGCAAATCAATATTCAAAATACAAAGAGTATAATACAAGCTTTATATCTATAAATATAGTTTAATATCTTTTTAACTCATATCTTTATATACAAGTCAATCCACTTTTAACACTCTTTATTTCCCAACAAACCATGTTTCATGGAAATCACTGGACAATAACATCGTCTGTTTTTTTATAGGTGTTAACGATTTTAATCATTAATAAATCGTTACCCTTTATGTTAAAAAAGATAATGTGGTTCTTTTGTACGTACACAAATATAAAAGAACCAAAAAATAGTATCCGTGCTAAATTCAATAAATAAGCAACAAACTGGTTTATTTGTAAATTGAATAAATCATATTTATGTGTCATATCAGGGTTTTTTAGGCAAACTGTTTACAGGTAAATTTGTTAATAAGTTGGTTGTTGACTGATAAGTTAAATATTTATTGATTTTTTAATTAGTTGTTAATGGATAAACTAGTCTTTTTTATTAAAATTAGCTGATAAAATAAATTACAATGTAAAATGGTCCAAATTGAATATGTAATGGGTAATTAATGAAAAAAATATAAGCATAATTGAAAAAGAAAAAAATTGAGAAAATATCTCACAAATTATGTAAGATAGTTTTTCTTATAACTTATCAAGTTGAACTTTTTCGATATGTTAAAAGAATAAGCTAACTTATACTTGTTAAATATGATCTTTTAGGGGTTGTTTGTTTACCTCTTAATAACTCCACTAAGAGACAACTTCTGAATCGTTAAAAGATGAATCTTGTTTGGTAAAAAAAATCTATCTTTTAATAGTTCTAAAACCCTCTGAATGGTTTCAAGAGTCGACTATTTTGATATCGTAAATGAATGATGATCACACAATCTCTAGGCATCATTATCTCAAAAATTTGTGTCTTGAATGAAGAAAAAAAAGCATCTTTCAAGTGTTGGAAGGTTCCAACAACATAAAAACACATCAAAAAACCCTACCAAATGGCTACAAGACAATTTAGTTGAAAATGGGTTGTTTTTCCAATTTCAAATGACCTCAAATCCAAACACATACCAACACAACCATCACCCATTTCACATTGATTTCTTGACTCCCAACCACATCCACATCCCACACTCATTTCTATTTTTGTTGGGATTCAACTTAATTGACTTTTTTGCATCATTGAATCTGAATCATTATCATGAACCATAATGGTCTCATAGTTTTTGAAGCAAATGTTCACAATTTATAACAAACTCCAATTACAGATATTTGGATACAAGCTCACCAGACATCATTCGTTTTCTGGTAATCATAGGTGTCCAGACCAATTTACATACGCATTGATTAACCTGTTCAGTTAAGAACATAAGAGGGCTAGAAATTTCTTAATGGTATAAAGAGGAGTCCTATTATACGGCAATTGAGATGACCCGTTATTTTTATCTTTTATACTTTCTTGGGTTTTAATGCTATGACTGTATGAATACTGTAAAAATAACTGTCGTTTTAAAACATGGATAATATATTATTTGTGTACTAAAAATTGTATTCATTGTATAAAAAAAGTGTACAAATAGATATGCAATACTTAACTGATTTTAACGACATTCGTCGTGTCATTTTATTTTAGTAAATTGTAGGTGTAACTATGTAGAATTGTGATATTTCTAGAAATTAAAACTGAAATAATAAACATAAACTAATGGATTTCTTATTAAAAATAAATAAATAAACTAAAGTTTTGTGTTTTAATTATAGGGCAAATTGCATGAAAAAGTAACGTACTTTAACTTGATTCCTATTTTGGGTAACGTACTTTCAAAACTTTCATTTTGGTACCTATTGATAGAGCAAATTGCATGAAAAAGTAACGTACTTTAACTTGATTCCTATTTTGGGTAACGTACTTTCAAAATTTCCATTTTGGTACCTAAGATGTAAAGTTTTAAACATTTAAGTACCTGGGTAACTGGTTGAAGTATTAACCGATTATCATGCTGATGTGGGGAGTGATGTGGTATCCAACTCGGTATTATTTGCTGACGTGGTCAGTGACGTGGATTTTTTAAAATCTAAATTTTTTATTTTTTTAGTCTAAAATTAGTCTTTCCGGGTTACCCGGGTACTTAAATGTTTAAAACTTTACATCTTAGGAATCAAAATGAAAGTTTTGAAAGTACGTTACCCAAAATAGAAATCAAATTAAAATACGTTACTTTTTCATGCAATTTGCCCTTAATTATAATGTAAAATAAAAGCAGATAGTAATGTATTTTTGGGGTTTGCACTAGAAAACAACCACGTTCTCTTGGCCTATGACTTTTTCATGACAATTATCAACCACCTTTTCGGTTTCATTTTCCCATGCAAATCTGAAAATGCTTTTTTTTTTTTAATTCAATTTTAGATTAATTTTTTTTTCTTTTGGTTTTTGTTTGTTTCATGAACTTCGTGAAAAATCCCTTTTAAGTTAAAGAATATTATTATCTTTTTTTACTGTAGGGAAAAGTCTGAAAAATTCAATAGACTTTATTGTTTGGAATGATTAAGTTATTTAATAATTTTTTGGAACAAATAAGTTTTTAAATATTCCAAAATCTGTTAAATAACTTTTTAGACTTTCTAAAACCTGTTGGATACATTCTTATGACCTATAAAACTGGTTAATGTAGTAAAATAATGAAAAAGCTCTAAAAATACCAATGAACTTTCATATTTTGAATGATTAAGTCGTTAAACATTTTTTTGAACAAAAAAAAAAATACTTACATATATAAGATAAAACAAATATACCAAAAAAGTACTTTATATTTAAAAGAGATTATTGATAAAATTTATTTCAACCAATGAATTAGTGACGAATTTTAATTAATTATGTATTTAGTTAAATTTTATCGTTAATCCGTCGGTAGTTTAATCAAATTATTTTCTATTTTTGTAATTTGGAGAATCACTAATGAAATATATTTTATTTTTAATTATAATAAGTTTCATCAGTGAGTTTTTTAAATCTTTTTTTTATTTTTTTTATCGTTAATCCGGATAAGTTTTAAGCGGTTTAGTCTTAAACCGGACAAGCTTTAGGCGATTTAAATATAAACCGGACAAGTGTTTGACGATTTAGACTTAAACCGGATAAGTGTTAAGCGGTTTAGTTTTAAATCGGACAAGGGTCAAGCAGATTAGACATTAAACCGGACATGTCTTAACCGGTTTAAAGTTTGAGCGATTATGAATAGTGTTGTCCGGATTAGTAATCCGGACAAGATTTAGAGAATTATTCTAAGTGATAAATCGGACAAAATGAGAAGAGTTGACCGGATTGGTAGTCCGGCCAGGGTTTGACCGGATTGTGTTTTGACTTATCATTTTGTTACTTTTTTAACAAGAAGTGGGAATTTTTGATAAAATGAATTTGAACTGATAATAATTTCATTGACTGCAGTCTATTCTATATGGAATTATTTTATGAAAATATTTTGATGAGGAAATAATGGTGGCATATCAAAGAGATGTGTACCATGTGATAAGGGTGGCATATCAAGGAGAGGTGTACCATGGGATAAGGGTGGCATATCAATGAGAGGTGTACATTTGGATATAAGGGTGACATTTGTGTGTGTGTGTTATGTAATATAACTCTTACTATTATTTCCTTTAAGATTACCATGATCTGGAATCTTTATTTCTGTGTGACTTAAGGGTTTAGGATCAGGGTTCTTATTGGAAATCATAGTCTTGATGTTATTGAAAAGAAGATAACAGGTTTGGCCTGAAACTTTGAATAAACCTTATTTAATATGAAAGGTTTAAAAGTGGCATTATGATAATTTGATTAGTATATACCTGTTGGGATTGATATATTGCTTACAAACAGAGATTATTGGTTTGAAAAGTGGAAGGTATCGATATGAGATTCTTATATATATATATATGAAAAATTGTTTTACTTAAAAATTTTGGTGGTTTTCACCTTGCAATAACATAAATAAGATAACTCATTAGACCTTTCGGTCTAACTCTCGTTTTGTAATTTTAAATATGTATTGCAGGAAGTGCTGAAGGTAAGGGGAAAGAAAAAATATGATAATTTCCCTATATGTTTACCTGTATGAGGATTGGATGATGAGATGTATAATTTTGATAGATGAACATTGATTAGTATAAGAATTTGTATTTGAATTTTTGGACCATGTATTTCATACTGGTAGAATCTTGTATTAAGAGACCTGAGTGGTGTATAAACATGTATTTCCAGTATGTTAGTATGTGTTACATGCAATGTATGGAAAAGAGGTGTTACATAAACAATACTTCATGCATAAAAATAATTTTAAGAGTTTTTATCAAATATTTTATAATATAGTATAGATAAACTATGCTGAAACTAACTTTATTAACAATCTTACCAATTTGATTATAAAAAGATAAAACATTTTTTGAAAAAAAAATAAAAAAAGAAATTGTCAATCTCCTCCGATTCGACTCACGCAGCAAACCAAGATTGTTAACTTTTTTTATGAAATTGACACGTGGTATCATATCATTGGTTGAATTTGATTTTTTTAAATAAAACTTATTTAATTAAAAAGTAATTTTAACCAAAAAATAAACATCAAA